TCTCTCATTCTCCCTGTCTCAAATAAATAAATAAAATCTTTAAAAAAAAAAAAAAAGATCTAAAGCGTAAACATAGGAGGAAGTATGTCTACCATATAAAAAAAAAAAAAAGAATGTATGGGAATGATCATTTGTTATGGTCCATATTTGCTATTCAGTTGTTTATTTTAACCGAAATAAAAAATTATGGCCCTATTTGGGTAACTTACCGTGATACAGCCAATTTATTTGCATTCTTGCCTTATTAGCCTGGCTTCTCTTGACTACCCCAAGTTAATTGTGAACTGAATTCCAGAGGCCTCCACTAAAGAGAAATTACACTGCATTAAAATAGGGTGTCCATTTTCTGTTGGATCTCAGGGCTGGGTGATTTAGGAGGAAAGAGGAAGTGGTTTTGAGAGCACACTGTTTTATGAATAATTAATACTTTGTTTTTGTATACAGTTGGAGTTCAGTGATGATATCGTGAAGATCATTCAAGCAGCCATTAATTCAGATGGAGGGCAGCCAGAGATTAAAAAAGCCAACAGCATGGTCAAGTCCTTCTTTATTCGGGTGAATGATATTAATAGTTCATGTTTTTAATGCTTATCTATGGATAATTATCCATGAACAGAACGGATTTGTTCTCTTCTCCGTTTTGTTTTGCTATGTGTATAAAACATCTTTTGGTTTAACTCATTCCTCTGATTCTTTGGGAGGAAGTTGGTGGGGTCACCCAAGTGGATGGATCTTTCTCTTGGTGGCCTGAAATCATCCTCATATTGACAGAGAAGCTAGTATGAAGTTGTTGGTTTTTATGTGGTTTCCAAATGAATGTTCACATGCTTACATTTTGTTTGTTTGTTTTTCTGTTAGCAAATGGAACGTGTTTTTCCATGGTTCAGTGTCAAAAAGTCTAGGTTTTGGGAGCCAAATAAAGTATCAAGCAAGTAAGTAAATTCATTGTTACTTTTTTTTCCCCACCTCATCAGCTAGAAATCTGAGAGTTCTTATATTTCTAGATTAAGGGTTCTTCAGACTAGGTTTTAAGATTAAAATTTAATCACTTGAAATGCCTTTTCAGTGCCGATTGAGAGATAATACTTAATGTTTATTATAGCCTATTGCCCCCCTTTTTTTCTTTATATATTATGTTTTCTGCAACTCGGCTTAACTTGTGACATATGTACAGTACTCGTGCTTCTATATGTAACTCAGTATTTGGACTTGCAGAAATTGGGTTCTGTGTTATTCGGTTCAAATTGTGCTCTCTATTGCTCTTGACTCTCCATATTTAACCTGAAATTTTTATTCCAGTGAATCCTTTTGATTCTTTGGGAAAGTTATCACTTGCTTCTGGAAGTTTAACCAAGAGTCATATATCGAGAATATATATATTTTTAGATAATAAAGCCCTGTGTATTTAGACAGTTTTCAAATTCTGTGGCTTGTCCTTATATGCTGTGAATGGCTCATGCATGGGGCTGTGACCTGATGATATCAAGAGTTTGATTATTTTGTATAGTTCCAGGTATATCGTAGGAGTTCAATAAATGCTTGTTGAATCAATTATTTTCAGCAGTGGGATGTTACCAAACGCAGTGCTTCCACCTTCACTTGACCATAATTATGCTCAGTGGCAGGAGCGAGAGGAAAACAGCCACACTGAGCAGCCTCCTCTAATGAAGAAAATCATTCCAGCTCCCAAACCTAAAGGGCCTGGAGAACCAGACTCTCCAACTCCTCTCCATCCTCCTACACCACCAATTTTGAGTAAGGCACCAAATGAGTCATTATCCATTTCTCTCTAGATGCAAATGATTAACTTTGTGAACCTAAATTTAATATACTTGCATATTGGAAAGAAATTCTCAGGTCATCCTAATTTTTGCTTAGCTTGGCCTGGTAGCAAGAAATCGATATAAATACTCTAACAGATGGTGAGATAGCATAACTTTGAACACTTTTTGAAAGTGTTTATTTTATAAGCCACAGACTATTTAAACTGAATTGGTTTTTTTCCTTCTGGAACTCAGACCTAGTATTGCCACTTTTAACTGGATATCTTTTGGGTTCCAAGGTACTGATAGGAGTCGAGAAGATAGTCCAGAACTGAACCCACCCCCAGGCATAGAAGATAATAGACAATGTGCATTGTGTTTGACCTATGGTGATGACAGTGCTAATGTAAGTACCTTGGCGAACGGGGTCCTACTTAGCAGATGCTCATGTGAACTCTTGGTCCTTGGTGTCTAAATTCGATGACTGGGTTCCATTTATTTAATGAATGTTTGTCACCTAGCTTATGTCACTTGGGGTTTTTTTTCTATAACGGATTTAATTGATTTAAAAGATGATTTGCCTTGGGGCACCTGGGTGGCTCAGTCGGTTAAGCATCTGACTCTTGATCTCAGCTCAGGTCTTGATCTCTGGGTCGTGAGTTCAAGCCCCGCATTGGGCTCCACGTTGTGCATGGAGCCCACTTAAAATTTAAAAAAAAAAAAAGATGATTTGTCTTAAATTAACCTGTTGACGTCTAATAGTTTTTACAGGAGATTTCTCAATAAGATTTTATGAACGTCAATAAAATATATGTAAGTTTGCATATTAAAGGCTTGTGTGTAATGGAGGAGGGCAGAATGGTTAAGATCTCCAGTTCTGGCAGGCTGCCTGTATTCATCTCCATGCTCTACTGCCTACTTGTTGACCTTGGCGAGGAGCTTAACCTCTCTGACTCTCAGTTTCATCTTTTTTTTTTTTTTTT